CCTCCTTCGCGGCCTCAAGGAGGTGCGTGTACGTATATGAGAAGAAAATGCAAACCATCCGCCTCCTGTCTCTTACCAACTGCTATGGCCTCCTTCCATCTACCACCAGCCATCTTTGCCTTGATCAGTGCAAGGTAGCAAACGCTGTCCAAGGCCATTTTCCCACTAAACTCATCGAACACCTCCTCAACCTCAGAAATTCTGTCGGCATCGGCGCATGTGGCCAGTACGCAGCCAACTCCCACGACGTCTGGGCGGATGCCTTCCCGCTGCATTTGACGAAGCACCCGCAGTGAGGCTTCCCACGCTTTCGGCTGCACGCACTGCCTAAGAATGGATGTGTAATGAGCAGAATTGAGCGCAACTCCTTCGTGACGCGCCGTGTGCCAAAGTTCAACCGCCCGAAACCAATTGCTGGCCTGCGGGTTTAGTAATTCCTGTTGGAGGGCATACACATGACCAAACTGATGCATCCACCCACCACCATAGCGTGGAAATACACCCTGCCCTGAAGCACGTGGGTGCATCCTCTCTGCTAGTCCTCACAAACGCCACTCAAGCACACGCCATCGGAGAAATAAAAAGCAAAACGACACCAACAACAAAATTATACAAAAAAAACAAGAAGGCCAAAATAATAATAATAATAATAAACACGCAAAACGGCACAACTCCATTTCAAAATCCAAAAGCAAATACACAAGCAACAGATGTGCGTGAGGACAGATAATCAAATACATTCCATAATAATAATAATGGAACGGTAACAAAAACAAACAAACCATCAAAACAAAAAAAAAAAAAAAAAAAGAACGTCTGGTTCAAAGAAAAAAAAAACAACAACAAAAAATGATGCGGCTTTGGGCCCCAGAGACCATGAGTTGTGCTTACTTGGAACGTTGACGCATACGCCGGCGTCGTCGCTTTAAGCGCTTTATGCGCTTCTTGTGCCACTTGGGCCGCATGCCTCCTGGACGGCTAATCGTCCCCATTTCCTACCTAACAAAGCAAAAGAAACGCAGGCAAAGTATGAACGCAGGCAAAGAAGGAAAAAAAGTCCCAGGAGGACTCCACCACTCCCAAGGAGCACAAAACAAAAGCAACAAGAAGCAGCAAAAAAGGGGAATGACAAAAAAGAAGCAAAAAAAAAAAAAAAAAGAGCACGGACAACAAGTACATTCGGGCTATAACACCCAAAACGCCTTCTTTCTCCTCCCCGGACCGAAAGAGGATAAGTGGCATCATACCACATTCATGCTTACTTGGAACGTTGACGCATACGCCGACGACGTCGCTTTAAGCGCTTTATGCGCTTCTTGTGCCACTTGGGCCGCATGCCTCCTGGACGGCTAATCGTCCCCATTTGTGCTCTATGCAAGTGTGGTAAGAAAGAGGCAAGCAAAAAGGCAAAATGAAAAAAAAAACATTGAAAGAAAAATAAAGCAATCAAAATCAAAGGAAAAACCACCGTGCCGCATTTTAGGATTCATCTTCGCACAACTAATACTTTTTTTGTTAAAAACAAAAACAAAACAAAAAAAATAACAAAACCGACAACACAAAGATGATAGGGTCCTGTGATGACTCGCACTTGTCCAGACAAAACAAATAAGGAGGTGCCGCAATTTGCTGTGCTTACTTGGAACGTTGACGCATACGCCGGCGTCGTTGCTTTAAGCGCTTTATGCGCTTCTTGTGCCACTTGGGCCGCATGCCTCCTGGACGGCTAATCGTCCCCATTTGTGCTCTATGCAAGTGTGGTAGGGAAGAAGCAAGCAAAAAGGCAAGACACACACAAAAAAAAAAAAAAAAAAAATAAAATAAAAATAAACGTCTGACATTCGAAGTGTCTTCAATTTCTATTCATGAACCCGGGCAATTTAGTTCAGCCCGAGGGAAACCAGAGAAAGAGGAAGGAAAATAAGAAATAACAAAACAAAGCAAAAAAAAAACAACAACACATGAATCAGTTCGGAACCTTCAATTTGCCATTACGCACCCTGTCCTGTATTTCCCGCGGGTTCTCGCCATCGATTGTGCAGCCTACGGAAAGCGCCGTGCCGAGCACCTCCATCACGACGGACTTCATGTTGGCCCCCATGGAGTTGGGCGCCGCCTCCTTTGCAATCTTAAGAATCTCCGAGAAGGGGATATTGCCGCTGTGCTTGATGTTCTTCACCTTCTTGCGGTCACGCGGCGGCTCCTTCAGGGCGCGGATCAAGCGAGAGGCCACGGAGGGCGTGACACGCACAGTGGCCACACGGTTCTTGACGCGCAGCTCACATGTGACCTTGAGGCCCTTCCAGTCCTTCGTGGACTTGGCGATGTCCTCGCCGATCTTCTTGGCATTCAGGCCGAGCGGACCGACCTTCGGAGCGAGCGACGCTGTGGCAGGCACTTCACCGCCGACGGCCCTCACAATGACTATAAGCTCCTGGTTGGGGTCAAACTTGGGGGGCATTGCTTCAATGAAGTTCCTGTGTGGCACATATCCAGAAGAAAATAAAGACAATCAGAAAAGCAAACAAACAAAATACGAAGAGGTAAATAAGAAAACACGCTCTTCCGGGAAGGCACACACAAAAAGAGCACACACACAAAGAGCACAGCTCAATTAGGGGAACATCGCAGGATCTTCCCACAAATACGCCGGTGGTTTCCTTCAACTTACTGTTCCTCCTCGTGAATCAACCTGCCAGTCACTAATCGGTTCGTACTGGAAGAACTGTAACAGAGCCATTATCGTTGATGTCAACGCGCAGGGTTACCGGGGTTGAAGGGTTTTCCAGCAAATGACGCAAAATTCCCGGACCCACCAATGCGGATACAGCATTAGCTACGCAGCGACCGTTTTCCATGGGAAGATCATCACGTACAAAATCAACCAACCACAAAATCGCATCTTCGCTTACGAGCAACTCTCGGATTGCTTCCCTGTGCCGGCATTTATAGTTCATGATGGTCAGCCATACAATCTCCTTGGCTGTATCCAGTGCCGCTGAAAGAAATGGAAATGTTTCAATCATAGATGATGACAATTGACTATAGAGACCTTTAAAATCATCCTCAACGATACGGCGCATTTCAGTGAGGCTCTTGCCCTGTGTTCGGCCCTGTCTTCCAAAATCTGTAGTCACAATGACAAATAAACGGCTTAGAAACACGCCGGGAGCCTCAGGGAAGGAGGTCGCCCTGCCTAACAGTGGGAGGAGGACACGCACGAGATCTGGGTGCAAAGCTCCAAGGTCGTTGATGATGATGACACCATTTTTTGGGAACCTTATAATGTGCTGTACAACCTTTGGAATCACGACCCGACGAAACTCCTGCACACTGTAACCATCGTAGCTAACACCTGAGAGCACCAGGGTGGAGTCACCCGTCTCACACGCGGTGTCATGGCACCGGAGACCCAAAGATAAAGAAATAATTTGCGCCAGCGTTGTTTTCCCCACCCCATTGTCACCCGCAAAGTGAAGCACCAGTGGTTTGTCTGGATTTTCAAGTTTGGCGGCAATGCTTCGTATGACACCTTCAACCACATGCGGCTGTCCCTTCAAGTTTCGCTGCGTAAGTCGCCTCAATCGATCCAACACATGCTTCTTGTAATCGCTCCCGTCAACGTTTACGGGATAACAAAAAAAGAAGCACAGAAGCCTCTTCACGAGGGTTGGATGTGAACTGCATAAAGGACGCGGGCTACAGTCATCCGCTTCGCCAAGGTCCAGTTCAATGTATGCTACCCGAGAAGAGAGTGCGGCGACAAAAAAAACAAGAAGCGCCAAACCACACACAGACCTCGTGCATGGGCCCATCAGAAAAATCCACCTCGGACCAAAAAGGCCATGCGTAAATCCAACAGGCAACGTGAGAGAAAGAAAGAGAAAAAAGAAAAACAGCAACAACAACAAAATGATAATAATAATAATAATAATAATAATAGGAAATCAAAAAACCAGAGCTGCGCAAGAAAACCCAATTATTATCCCAGTCGTAAAGAACAAAAACAACAACAACAACAACAACAAAAACAGAACAAAAACAAAAACACTTCAACAAAACCAAAATAAAAGCAGAAATGCTTTTTTTTTTTCTTCTTTTCTTTTCTCTCTTTCGTTGCCGTTATATTTTGGGCTTATTTTAGTTGATTGAATATTTACCCTTCCAGTTGGAAATAAAACCCTTTTTCTTCAGTTGTCCTCCACAACAACACGTATGCATATTATACTTACGCATACTCATATATAAATATGCGTAAACCGATACATTCATCCTTTACGCAAGGAAGAGATATGCTGGCCAATAATTAGAAAAAAAAAAGAAAAAAGAAAAAAAAATAAATAAATAAAGAGAGAGAAAGACTTGCTAAAATAGTTCCTCGTTAACTTTTTTCTTTTTTCTTTCCTTTTTTTTTTTTTTTTTAGCATTGTAGCTCTTAATTGAACGTATTTAAATTTGGCAATGTAATTCTTCTTACATAATATCTGCGTTCTTTTCGTTGGACCAGGCGTCTGGAACCTCCTCAAAGAATTTCTTAATTTCCTCAGGATCAGCCTTGCCGATCGTCCGTGTGTCATTGCGCAACCCGTGCACGCGATATCCAATAAAATAGAACCACTTTGCGGCCATCATGAAGGCAATAAATGAGCAGAAGTACGAACTCCCCGTCCAGCGCTGCTTCAGCATAATGCCTTGGGCCAGCAGATAGAGAGCAACAGCAAAAAGCCCCAAGGTGCCAATCAGAATGGTCGACTGAAAAATAATACGGCTCAAGCTTCCAGGAGGAAGGCGCGCAGTCAATCTTTTGTCCGGGACAACGTACAGCACGGTCGTTATTGCAATAAAAATGCAGGCCAGAAAAAAGCCAGCCGCCGCCCAATAATTACTGAAGCTTATTATAAATACAACAACACCCGCCGCGTATGCCGCAATGAAGAGCAAATACAATGCCACACGAATAAAAAGACACTTCTTTTCCGAAATAGCCATCTTTTTTAAAGCTTCCTTTTTTTTTCTCCTTATATTTTTATCGATGGACCTTTTGTTTCTTGTATATATATATATATATATATTTTCTCTGTGTGCTATTGCTTCTCGTTCCTTCGCTTTCACTGAGAAAAAGCCATAACAACAACAACAACAAGTTAACACGCAGACATATACGTAAATAAGACTGCAAAGAAGGAAACGGGAATAACTTAAGAAAAAAACAAACAAATTTGTACCCGCGAGAGACGGGACTGCCGCACCATCGGCCCATCCTAAGCATGTAGGACGTTTAGCGGTAATTGAGGTGTACGGTGGCGACATCCCCGTCAAAAAAAGACACAAGGTATATGAGGGTGACCCTCACTCTTGCCCTCGTCTCGTGGAAAAAAAAAAGAGCAACAACGACAGCGAGAGCTTCATCAGGCACCGCAAACTCAATCGATCTGTCTTTTTGGTGGAGCTCGAGCGGCCGCGGCCAAAACGTTTACGTGATTGTACGGGCAATGCCGACATCTGTTTCCACAACAGATGCCACGCTTTATGTGGAAGTGTCGTGTCAGCACTATCTGGCCGGTG